TATCATTTAATAAAAAGTGTTTAATTATTAAACTGTTCACAATTTTTCAATAAAATTTAGCCATTTTAATGTTGGCAATTTAATAAAAATATTGAATCATTTTATTAAGATGTTTTCTATAAATTAGATTTCATAAATACAATTTTATAAGAAATTTTATCAAATTTAATTTTGATCATTGAAATCATTTCATAATTAAATGTTCTAAATTTTATAAAATGTTAGTCATTTTAATTTTGTATATATGTATAATGTAATAAAGTGTTTATATAATTAATAAATTGTTCACAATTTTATTTTATTTTAATGACTGTTTAATTTAATAAAAATATTGATGAATTTTATTTTAAAAAAAAGTTTCATATAAGTGTGTTTGTGTAAATTTGTTTACTTTACATTATTTATATAAAATACCAGATTTATTTACCCAAGAAGCATAATTGAATGGATACATAATTTATAGTAGCGGTCAACCGATTATCGGCCTGGCCGATTATCAGCACCGATATTAAGCGTTTTATGGCTATCGGTATCGGTCATTTGCCTATAAAATAATTCCAAAGCATTTAAAAAAAGTTGTCAAAGCCCCTGTTATTCTTAATTTTGACATTTTTATTTTTATGCCAGACATATATATCGGTTATCAATCTACCTGATCTGTAATAGTCAGTATCATCCCTGAAAAACACATATCGGTCAACCCCTAAATTATAGGGGTTTTTGCATTTTTTATATGCATCTTAATAAAGTATTAATATATTACACAATTATACTTCTTAAGTGAATACATTTTGCTTTAAAGATCTAACACAGTTACACTTAAATAAATGATGCTTGTTTTAGGGTTGTTTAGATGTTGCTACTGGAAAATAAAATAAATGTGTTTTTTGTCACATACTACATTCATAAAGTGGTTGTTTTCTCTTACGATCTGTGTGTTCATCTTTATTCTGTGTGTTCAGACATTAACGAGTGCACGGTGAACCCGCTGCTCTGCGCTTTCCGCTGCGTCAACACCTTCGGCTCGTATGAGTGCATGTGTCCGACGGGATACGTGCTGCGCGACGACAACCGGATGTGCCGAGGTCCGTATGATGATCCACATCATCATTATACACACACGTGAGAGTGCAGGTGATAATCGTTACTCCTCTCTCTCTCTCTCTCTCTCTCTGCAGACCAGGATGAGTGTGCGGAGGGGCTGGACGACTGCGCCTCCAGAGGAATGGCCTGCAAAAACCAGATCGGCACCTTCATGTGCATCTGTCCACCCGGCATGACGCGCCGGCCCGACGGAGAGGGGTGCATGGGTGAGAAACCAGCGCGAGTGTGTGTGTGTGTGTGTGTGTGTGAGAGAGAGAGAGACTCGCTCAAGCTCTAAAGAGAGAACGATGCCTGTGTGTCGTCATCAGAAAAATAGACAGTAGTTCAAGAGAACACTCATGATTTTCAACTGGTGGACGAGAAAACTGGTGAAAAAGACCAGAATATTACAGAAACTAATAGTGACTAATAATTTTGCATGAGCAAAAACATTTTCTTCAGGAAATGTAAAAATATGGTTTGTTTTTACTAGCATAACACTGAATGTAGTAAATATTGTATTTCATCAAACTATATTTACTTGGGGTACATTTTTTGCATATGCATTTTTTAAATATTTATTTATTTATGATGATGATGATGATGATGATAATAATAATAATGCTTTAATATTTCATTTAATTATTATAAAACAATAATAAATAATATTTGTTTAGTAAAAATAATAATAACTTAAAGGGGTGGTTGATTGTGATTTCACTTTTTTTAACGTTAGTTAGTGTGTAATGTTGCTGTTTGAGCATAAACAATATCTGCAAAGTTACAAAGCTGAAAGTTCAATGCAAACGGAGATAACGTCTTTTAAAATTCTGGCAGTTTAATGCCTACAAAAACGGCTGCTAGAGACTACAATGAGGTACTTCCTGGGTTCGTGACATCACAAACCCAGATAAACCCTGCCCTCGGGAACATGCAGCAAAGGGGGCGAGGCCTGCGCTGCTTTAAAGAAGAGGAAACTAGAGGTGCACGTAAAAATATGTTCATATAAGAATCGCGTTTCAAAATCAATGTTCTAAAGCAGCGGTTCTTAATACTGTTTCTCGTGTCCCCTGCTCTGCATCTCTCTCTCTCATATTCAGCTCAGCTCCAACAATGAACTGTTACAATTATACACTTATTTTCAAATAGCTATGAGAAGTGTATGCAGTATGCAGTTGCCATACTGTATTAAAGCTTTAATCAGGATAAAACCGTATATTAAAAGCTAACATAAGCAGTAGCATTTACAAATAACAGCGTATCTAAAAGTATGAGACAACAACAAACAAAAAAACATAGGCCTACCATTAAAAGCCATGCTTGCACAGGTTCTGCACGATCCCCTTCAATAATATTCTCTGCTTCTCAATCGGGCTCGAACTGATAAGCGATATTAATGACACTGTTGTTTACAATACAACCGGAGCACATGCCGCTGAGGTGAGGGGCGGGACGTTTAGACACGCACTAGAGACGGTTTAGCCAATCACAACACACTGGGCTAGCTAACCAATCAGAGCCCATCGCCTATTTCTAAGGGCGGGGCTTCTTAAAAACAGGAAAAGATCAGCCCGTTTCTCAGAGAAGGGACAGAGCAGTGTGGAATAAAGGTAAATTATGTGAAAAATATTTCGTTTTTTTTTTTTTTCAAACTAAGCATTAACACATGTTAGACTGCACCCCATAAACACAATCAAGCCAAGAAAAAAAAACAGTGAACCACCCCTTTAAAATTGTATGCAATATTAATATAAATTTGTGCATGCATTTTTAATAAAATATAAAATTATTATTATACAAATGTTATTAAAATCATGTAAACCATTTACCCTAGTACAAAATACAATAGTCACTACAGTCTTGTTACTCCAATTTTTTATAATATTGCACAAAATATGAATTTATTATTATATAAATATGCTAAATTAATACCAAATAAAAACACAAAAATAAACAATAATATTATATAATGTATTATATAATATAATATTGTATTTTTCTGTATAGTACAAATACTACTTCAGTATTTTATGCAATATTAATAGAAATTGGAGTGACTGAAGTAACTATTGTATTTTGTCAAATACAATAATAGGTGTAATAATAGGTCAAATTTTACCAATATTATGCAATTAAAATCTGTATCATTTTTATTTGATGTTACCTAAACCATTTTCTGTATTGCATACTGGATATCATTTAAATTTACACAAGTAATTTAGTAATTTTTATATAGCATGTGCTCATGGTGCTGTTGCCGTCTGTCTTGTTGCATAAGTCGTCTCAGATCATCTCTCTCTCTCTCTCTCTGGCAGATCTGAATGAGTGCCGCAGCAAGCCGGGGATCTGCAAGAACGGCCGCTGCGTCAACACCGTGGGCAGCTACCGCTGCGAATGTAACGAGGGTTTCGAGCAGAGCTCCACGCGCACAGAGTGCATCGGTAAGAGCCAGCGGACAATCAGAACGCAGCTGAAAGGGCCAGCGGCCAATCAGAACGCAGCTGAAAGGGCCAGCGGCCAATCAGAACGCAGCTGAAAGGGCCAGCGGCCAATCAGAACGCAGCTGAAAGGGCCAGCGGCCAATTGTTATTGTTTTTCTATTGTGCCTCTTTTATTTCTCTAGTTTTTTGGCCTAATAATATCTAGCAAAGGGACTACCAATGAAAACTAGCCTTCGGGCTAATTTGAGTACATTTACATTCAAGAATATTGATTAATGTACACTGTCCCTTTTTGTGAAATAAATAATTTATTTTTTTATTTTATATAGCATGTGCTCATGGTGCTGTTGCCGTCTGTCTTGTTGCATAAGTCGTCTCAGATCATCTCTCTCTCTCTCTCTCTGGCAGATCTGAATGAGTGCCGCAGCAAGCCGGGGATCTGCAAGAACGGCCGCTGCGTCAACACCGTGGGCAGCTACCGCTGCGAATGTAACGAGGGTTTCGAGCAGAGCTCCACGCGCACAGAGTGCATCGGTAAGAGCCAGCGGACAATCAGAACGCAGCTGAAAGGGCCAGCGGCCAATCAGAACGCAGCTGAAAGGGCCAGCGGCCAATCAGAACGCAGCTGAAAGAGACAGCGGCCAATCAGAATGCAGCTGAAAGGCGTATCTAAAAGTATGAGACAACAACAAACAAAAAAACATAGGCCTACCATTAAAAGCCATGCTTGCACAGGTTCTGCACGATCCCCTTCAATAATATTCTCTGCTTCTCAATCGGGCTCGAACTGATAAGCGATATTAATGACACTGTTGTTTACAATACAACCGGAGCACATGCCGCTGAGGTGAGGGGCGGGACGTTTAGACACGCACTAGAGACGGTTTAGCCAATCACAACACACTGGGCTAGCTAACCAATCAGAGCCCATCGCCTATTTCTAAGGGCGGGGCTTCTTAAAAACAGGAAAAGATCAGCCCGTTTCTCAGAGAAGGGACAGAGCAGTGTGGAATAAAGGTAAATTATGTGAAAAATAATGCGTTTTTTTTTTTTTTCAAACTAAGCATTAACACATGTTAGACTGCACCCCATAAACACAATCAAGCCAAGAAAAAAAAACAGGGAACCACCCCTTTAAAATTGTATGCAATATTAATATAAATTTGTGCATGCATTTTTAATAAAATATAAAATTATTATTATACAAATGTTATTAAAATCATGTAAACCATTTACCCTAGTACAAAATACAATAGTCACTACAGTCTTGTTACTCCAATTTTTTATAATATTGCACAAAATATGAATTTATTATTATATAAATATGCTAAATTAATACCAAACAAAAACACAAAAATAAACAATAATATTATATAATGTATTATATAATATAATATTGTATTTTTCTGTATAGTACAAATACTACTTCAGTATTTTATGCAATATTAATAGAAATTGGAGTGACTGAAGTAACTATTGTATTTTGTCAAATACAATAATAGGTGTAATAATAGGTCAAATTTTACCAATATTATGCAATTAAAATCTGTATCATTTTTATTTGATGTTACCTAAACCATTTTCTGTATTGCATACTGGATATCATTTAAATTTACACAAGTAATTTAGTAATTTTTATATAGCATGTGCTCATGGTGCTGTTGCCGTCTGTCTTGTTGCATAAGTCGTCTCAGATCATCTCTCTCTCTCTCTCTCTGGCAGATCTGAATGAGTGCCGCAGCAAGCCGGGGATCTGCAAGAACGGCCGCTGCGTCAACACCGTGGGCAGCTACCGCTGCGAATGTAACGAGGGTTTCGAGCAGAGCTCCACGCGCACAGAGTGCATCGGTAAGAGCCAGCGGACAATCAGAACGCAGCTGAAAGGGCCAGCGGCCAATCAGAACGCAGCTGAAAGGGCCAGCGGCCAATCAGAACGCAGCTGAAAGAGACAGCGGCCAATCAGAATGCAGCTGAAAGAGTCAGTGGCCAATCAGAATACAGCTGAAAGAGCCAGCGGCCAATCAGAATGTGGCTGAAAGAGCCAGCGGCCAATTAGAACATGGCTGAAAGAGCCAGCGGCCAATCAGAATGCAGCTGAAAGAGTCAGTGGCCAATCAGAATACAGCTGAAAGAGCCAGCGGCCAATTGTTATTGTTTTTCTATTGTGCCTCTTTTATTTCTCTAGTTTTTTGGCCTAATAATATCTAGCAAAGGGACTACCAATGAAAACTAGCCTTCGGGCTAATTTGAGTACATTTACATTCAAGAATATTGATTAATGTACACTGTCCCTTTTTGTGAAATAAATAAATAAACAAATGGGGACATGTGTGCACAAATCGCATGAAACCGAATGCTAAAACTGAATCAAATCCCCAATTTTCATTTAATACACAATTTAATAATTTAATACACAATTTCTGTTTTAAATTAGAATAATTGTGTCTAACTGGCCTGTTGTGGTTGTCAGATAACAGGAAGGGCTTCTGCTTCACGGAGGTCCTGCAGACGATGTGCCAGCAGTCGTCCACTAACAGAAACACCGTCACGAAGTCGGAGTGCTGCTGTAACGCTGGCCGCGGCTGGGGCTCGCTGTGTGAACTCTGTCCTCTGCCCGGCACCATCCAGTACAAGAAGATGTGTCCGCTCGGACCCGGATACACCACTGACGGCAGAGGTCAGACATCTCCGCTCTTGAAGAGATTTCATTGAGCGACAGCTGAGAAAATTAAAACAGCTGATCAATCTCTATAATAATATCAACAGTAGCTTCTTTTAGACCAATGCAATGATGCGCATGTATTTATTAAATATCAATTTAGAAAATGTGTGTTACTTTTCATATTTGTTTATAATTATGAATATTTACATTAATTAATATTTTAAAATAATTTTATTGTAATACATTTTTATTATAATGCCTTTCGGACAAACTATCAAATATATATATTTTTTTATTCGTGATATATGATAAAGTGCTTGGGATATTTAAATATATTTGAAATATTTGTATATTCATGTTTTATTCATATTTCAAATTAATTTTTTTAAATACATTTATTTATATCAAATGTAAATATTGTGATTTTTTAAAAATATATATAAATTCAGAAATTATTTATTTTTATATCTATAATTATAAATGTTTACATTAATGCATTTTTTTGATCATTTTATTATAGTGAATTATTTATCATTATAAAAATAATTTTGGACAAATATATTGGATGTGGATATTTACTGGTAATGTACATGGGAAATATTTTAAATATATTCATGTTTTGATTAATATTTCAAACAAGTTTATGGATATTTGAAATGTATTTAATAAATATACACATTTATAAAATATTTATTCATTTTTATATTTATAATTATTCATGTTTACATATTTTAGTCATATTTTATTGAATTATCTGGCACTATAATAATTTTGTAGAAATTATACAAAAAGCACATCCATTTCTTTAGTTTGGATATGCATATGGGTAATATGCATGGGAAATATTTGAAAGAGAAAATTTTTTATTTTTTATACATATATATATATATATAAAAAAAATAACATTGAATTTATTATTATTAATATTAATATTAGTACTGTTTTTAAATAAGTGCTATAGATAGGGATGGGCAAAAAATCGAATGCGATCGCAGGCGAATCATTGCCGATTTTGAACGCGATTTTGTGTAGCTTGTCAGTGAACTACGGCTCTGTGTAGTAAATGGTGCTCCATCTGAAAGCACGTGCTGGAGATTTACTACTAATCACAGAACCGGCTTTACTGATGAGATGAAAACATGAAAGCTCTAGCTATAGATGTTTAGTTAGAAGTACTTCATTGAAATTCATGCATTTCTTTTAGATGTAATATGCATATTTGGATTTTTTTTTTTACAATATCTACTGTGTTTTTGCAGACATCAACGAGTGTGAGGTAATGCCTAACCTGTGTAAGAACGGCCAGTGCATCAACAGCGTCGGCTCCTTCCGCTGCCATTGCAACGTGGGTTACACCGATGACTTCACTGGCACTTCCTGTGTCGGTACGTTCTCCTCGCTCACCGTAACCCTTATTTAAGACAAAGTGTGATACGGTTCTAAAAGCCTGTTTTTGATGCAATACTTGATGCTTTTCAATTAGATATGGACGAGTGCTCTCAGTCGCCCAAACCTGTAACGCTGGCCGCGGCTGGGGTTCGCTGTGTGAACTCTGTCCTCTGCCCGGCACCATCCAGTACAAGAAGATGTGTCCGCTCGGACCCGGATACACCACTGACGGCAGAGGTCAGACATCTCCGCTCTTGAAGAGATTTCATTGAGCGACAGCTGAGAAAATTAAAACAGCTGATCAATCTCTATAATAATATCAACAGTAGCTTCTTTTAGACCAATGCAATGATGCGCATGTATTTATTAAATATCAATTTAGAAAATGTGTGTTACTTTTCATATTTGTTTATAATTATGAATATTTACATTAATTAATATTTTAAAATAATTTTATTGTAATACATTTTTATTATAATGCCTTTCGGACAAACTATCAAATATATATATTTTTTTATTCGTGATATATGATAAAGTGCTTGGGATATTTAAATATATTTGAAATATTTGTATATTCATGTTTTATTCATATTTCAAATTAATTTTTTGAAATACATTTATTTATATCAAATGTAAATATTGTGATTTTTTAAAAATATATATAAATTCAGAAATTATTTATTTTTATATCTATAATTATAAATGTTTACATTAATGCATTTTTTTGATCATTTTATTATAGTGAATTATTTATCATTATAAAAATAATTTTGGACAAATATATTGGATGTGGATATTTACTGGTAATGTACATGGGAAATATTTTAAATATATTCATGTTTTGATTAATATTTCAAACAAGTTTATGGATATTTGAAATGTATTTAATAAATATACACATTTATAAAATATTTATTCATTTTTATATTTATAATTATTCATGTTTACATATTTTAGTCATATTTTATTGAATTATCTGGCACTATAATAATTTTGTAGAAATTATACAAAAAGCACATCCATTTCTTTAGTTTGGATATGCATATGGGTAATATGCATGGGAAATATTTGAAAGAGAAAATTTTTTATTTTTTATACATATATATATATATATAAAAAAAATAACATTGAATTTATTATTATTAATATTAATATTAGTACTGTTTTTAAATAAGTGCTATAGATAGGGATGGGCAAAAAATCGAATGCGATCGCAGGCGAATCATTGCCGATTTTGAACGCGATTTTGTGTAGCTTGTCAGTGAACTACGGCTCTGTGTAGTAAATGGTGCTCCATCTGAAAGCACGTGCTGGAGATTTACTACTAATCACAGAACCGGCTTTACTGATGAGATGAAAACATGAAAGCTCTAGCTATAGATGTTTAGTTAGAAGTACTTCATTGAAATTCATGCATTTCTTTTAGATGTAATATGCATATTTGGATTTTTTTTTTTACAATATCTACTGTGTTTTTGCAGACATCAACGAGTGTGAGGTAATGCCTAACCTGTGTAAGAACGGCCAGTGCATCAACAGCGTCGGCTCCTTCCGCTGCCATTGCAACGTGGGTTACACCGATGACTTCACTGGCACTTCCTGTGTCGGTACGTTCTCCTCGCTCACCGTAACCCTTATTTAAGACAAAGTGTGATACGGTTCTAAAAGCCTGTTTTTGATGCAATACTTGATGCTTTTCAATTAGATATGGACGAGTGCTCTCAGTCGCCCAAACCGTGTAACTTCCTGTGCAAAAACACCGAAGGCAGTTACCTGTGCTCGTGTCCCAGAGGATACATCCTACAGCCTGATGGGAAGACCTGCAAAGGTTAGCTCATAATTAATGTGTACATTTTTCCTTGCTGCGATTAAAATCTGATCGTAGCAATAATCCACCCCAATGATCAAACCAATGTGTGCTGATATGAAAAACTGCTTATTTCATCCCAGATTTGGACGAGTGCTCAACCAAGCAACACAACTGTCAGTTCCTGTGCGTCAACACGATCGGTGGCTTCACCTGTAAATGCCCCTCAGGCTTCACGCAGCACCAGACGGCATGCATAGGTGAGTGATATGAACTCAAACCGCCCGCTAACATTGCCTAGCCCAGAGTCTAAATAATTGAGCGGGTCATTTGGAGCTAAAATTGCCTCCATGATTCATCTCGTAGACAACAACGAATGCAGCAATCAGCCAAACCTATGTGGCTCCCGCGCCTCCTGCCTCAACACCCCCGGCAGCTTCAACTGCGAGTGTCAGAAGGGCTTCTCTCTGGATGGCACAGGAATCAACTGTGATGGTAGGTTTCCCATTATGAGCCCATTTGAAATATTTTTGCACTAAGCGCCAATGCAGATATCACTTGTTAATATGTATATATAATATATGTTATATGCTTTTGTTGAAACCATCTGTTCACATTAGTTCATAATCGTGTTTAACAGCAGAATTTGTGGTGGAAAAACTACATTACCCATGATGCTTTACAGAAAATTCCACCAATCAGAGTTGTGGTGATCAAATCGTGCTTACAGAGGTCTTTAGCCCCACGCACTCCCACAAAGCACCGCAAATGACGTTCAAGCCGCACTCAAAATACTTAAATAAGTGCTGTCAAAACGCTTTAACGCAGGCGATTAATTTTTTCCCGTTTAGCGTGTTCAAAATATTTAATGCAATTAAGGCAGGGGCGGATCTAGGGTTGGCCACCCCACTCACAACCACTGCTTCTGTCTCTTTTTTCTGGAAAACAATTGCATTTATTTAGACACAGAACCTCTTTACGACCATATCAAACGGGAGACTTTTCAAATGCACACTCCAACTTTAATTTCAGAAAAAATGTGCGATTATTTAGTGAAAAAAATGTAATCGATTGACAGCACTAACTTAAATACAAATTTTACTTTCTTTTTTAAGTTCCGAGTATACTTCTTTTTATGCGTTCTGCTCCGTCTCGCACACAGCCGTGTCAACGTGGCTTTTAAAGCATATTCAACGCATCGCAGTACCACCTTGTGGACTCGTTCTGTCTCAACATTCACCTCACGCCTGCGCTGTTGTACGCGGATGTCCGCGGACACTTCTGATTACGAAAATTGCATCACACGGACAGTGCACGGACCGTCACGGATCATGAATGCCCGAAGTATACTTTGGTATACAGATTGTAATTTGCAATGCTTCATGGAATTGTTCGGTTTGGTTCATGGCTTATAATGCTTTAACAAAGCATTTTTCAAAATCCCAATGGGAAAATTGATTGAAAAAGATTATAATTATGGAACCAACACTGCTAAGAAGGTGGACAGGCACAAACACAATCTATGCCACCATATATTAGAATCACATGCTAACCAGATTTTGGTTTCTGACAGACGTCGATGAATGTGGCGGAAACCACCGGTGCCAACACGGTTGCCAGAACATGTTGGGAGGATATCGTTGCGGATGTCCGCAGGGTTACGTTCAGCACTACCAGTGGAACCAGTGTGTGGGTAAGTATTTCTACGCAAATGAAAAGCGATTTTCAGTTGCGCAGTTGTTCTAATTTCTGTGTCTTCCTTCCACCCAGACGAGAACGAATGTGCCGGGAACCAAGTCTGTGGGTCTGCATCTTGCTATAACACTCTGGGCAGCTATAAGTGCACGTGCCCGTCAGGTTTCGACTTTGAGTCCTCTGCTGGCGGATGCCAGGATGTTAATGAATGCAACCTGAACAATAACCCCTGCAGCTATGGCTGCTCCAACACAGATGGAGGATACTTGTGCGGATGTCCCGGAGGCTTCTACCGAGCAGGACAAGGGTGAGTATTTAGGCTAGCCTGCTCATATTTGTTTATGCCACAAGTGTGCATTCCTGCTCCTGGAGGACAACTTTCTTTCAGTTCAGCTCCAGCTTTCTCCAACACACCCACCTTGATGCGTCTAGTAATCCTTTACTAGCTAGTTCAAGGGGTAAAATCTAGGAAGGTGGCCCTTCAGGAGCAGTACTGGATACCCAAATAGTTTGAACATACTGTACACTATATAGTAGGGAGGTCAACTCTGGTCTTGGAAGGCCACTGTCCTTCAGGGTTTAGCTCCATCCCTAAACAAACACATCTGAAAAATCCAACATCCAAGCATACTTGAACATTCAGAATCATTGGCAAGACTTTCTGTAATATGTCAGAACATGACCACAGCATTTGCTTCCAGTCAGACAAAACACCATCAATAGCTGCTTTTCCACTTTCGGGCCAGTGCGATACATTGATCATAATTAGAGGTTGACCGAAATGGGTTTTTCTCTGGCCGATGCCGATATTTAGAAATATATTTAGATATTTAGGGCAGCCGATGTATGATGCCAATTTTTTTGGCCGATATGTTTGAGTTTGAGTAAATGATTATTGCATGGTACAAAATAGTAGTAGTAGTAATAGTAGTAGCCTAATTAATAGTAATAATACATGGCTCAAAACTTGAGCACCTTCTCAAAACAGTTCTGAAGCATGCTTTTTGTTTATGTTTGCTGACAGACACCAGTGTTTCCCAGACTTGCAAATGAAAATTAATTCTCTGCCAGCAGGAGGCGCTGTTGGAGCAGGAGATATAGCGGATTCCCTGGTAACGGATATAATCTAATAAGTGCTGCGCTCACAAACGCTACTTTATCAGGCATTACAGGAAAGACTAAATGAAAATGACATCGAAGCTTTTCTGAAGACGGTCGGTTCTTTTCAAAGAAACATTCATATAAAAACACCCGCGCTGCATTTTAATTTTGAAACGTGCAGTTCTCAGTTTATTCAACGAAGCATAAGCCTTTTGGAGAATCTATTTGTGGCGGTCAGTTTTGATATTGTGATGAGCCGCCACAAATAACTCAATGTATGGGAAACACTGGACACTGCTATAAGTCAAATGGCCATAATCTAAGTGATAACAAAAATAAAAGAGTTCACGCATATTAGACAGCCTGCTGCTCATAACTGCTTAAGAGTGCGCTGGCCATGAGCGATGACAATGTGGATGCTATTGTCGGACCCACAGACACAGAAGTAACGTGCACGTTATAATCAGCCCAGAAGTTTCGTCTGAATTGCACGTGTTTCTGCTTTCACATGCAAATGACTTGTTACACTTATGAATATGATAAGCATGGTCGGCATCAATTCTAGTAGGGTAAAACGTAATTACGCTTTCGAAACTGTCTGTTTTGCCCTGCCATCATTAGCCAATTGCTACTCAAAACTAGCCAAATCGCATTTCAAGGGGGTCTCCAGTTAAAAATCACGTTCCGGGGGGTAAAATACACATTTTTTGGCGGGGTTCCCCTGCTAAAATTCACATTCCAGGGTCTAAATATCATGTTATTGGAGTCGCTTCATCCCGCGGCAACAGTGTTAAACTAGCCCAATTCCGAGGGAAAACCGCACACTTGGCAACACTGGTCACGCAGCCAAAAAGAGATGGGTGCGTCTCAATCAGCTCCCGAGCTCGTGAATCAGTAGATCATGTACACGAATTCGGTCACTGGAGATTCTCCGGTACAGTGTCCCACAACAACGCTTAGCTGCCTGCAGATGCGCCTGCCTATAAATCAGCCTAATTTGTAGCACAATAGGCCGATGCCGATTTAAAAAATGCAAAAAATCGTCCCGATTAATCGGCCGGCCAATCAATCGGTTGACCTCTAATCATAATGAATTAATTTGTCAGGATTGAAAATTAGCCACACAGCAATAAAGTGATATTTTCCATTATTTCACAAAAGAAAGAGGACACATTTATTCAGTCGCATCTTGTTTTTGTTTATTTGTAGTCACAGTATACATCTCATTTATAAAGAATGATAATTTCTAAAATTTTCCATCAAAAATACGACCTGAGTAGCAGAGGGAGCTCCCGAAGAAAAACTATGATTATGATAGGCTATATTTTATAACATACATTGAGCTAAATATGAACATCAGACAGTAAGGTATGGACACGAGACTTACTGACAGATAAAATGTGTTACTAAATAAACACACGATTGTGATAGCCTATGTGATTTGTCTGATTTCTTCAAGGAATCGTATTTACCCTGTTGATGGCTAGCACATAGTCCTTTGCATCACTTATAAATGTTTCTGCCTTGTATGGGGATCATAATCTACATCGGATCTCAAACAGAATTTATTTCAAACACTCGCTGCTGTCGGAAAGTGAGTTTTGAGCTAAAATTATTTTAAAAGTCTTTAATGTTGGTGTTATAGCTGTTAACTAAATGATCCACGGCGCTGACACTCTCCAGACTTGGAGAAACTTCGCCTTTGCTCATAACCACTCCTCAAGCCCGAGCTGGTCCGCTTTGGCCCAAGGTTTTCGGCGGGCCAAAAAACCTGGCATGATAAAGCCCTGGAAGTGACAGTGGAAATGTGACTGGCCCTGGCATGCACTAGCACGCCCGCTTTTGGCCCGACAATGGAAACGTGGCTAATGAGTTCCAGTTACTGATCTTGACAGGATTAGTTTGTAGTCTACTTTATAAAGAGTTCCAAAGTGTTCAGGTCTTTCCTTGGTGAATGGAAGGGGATGCCTACATACTTTTGCCATGTAGTGTAGAACCATATACTTGCCTGAAACTTAAAGGCTCTGTCCTAAATTCCACTCATATCCCTTATCCAAGTTCACATTTTGGTGATGCACTCCTACACAGATTGTCAAACGTGTGGAGTCCACACCAGCATGGGCTCAACAAGGGTGTAAGAACCCTTCTAAATCCTAAAACGGTGCCCGAGCTGGTCCGCTTTGGCCCAAGGTTTTCGGCGGGCCAAAAAACCTGGCATGATAAAGCCCTGGAAGTGACAGTGGAAATGTGACTGGCCCTGGCATGCACTAGCACGCCCGCTTTTGGCCCGACAATGGAAACGTGGCTAATGAGTTCCAGTTACTGATCTTGACAGGATTAGTTTGTAGTCTACTTTATAAAGAGTTCCAAAGTGTTCAGGTCTTTCCTTGGTGAATGGAAGGGGATGCCTACATACTTTTGCCATGTAGTGTAGAACCATATACTTGCCTGAAACTTAAAGGCTCTGTCCTAAATTCCACTCATATCCCTTATCCAAGTTCACATTTTGGTGATGCACTCCTACACAGATTGTCAAACGTGTGGAGTCCACACCAGCATGGGCTCAACAAGGGTGTAAGAACCCTTTTAAATCCTAAAATACTCTACAGTCTTGTGGACTCCATAGACCTATGCAAGCAAAGACAGCAAGTCCACATTAAGTGCAAAATTTGGGGCAAGGCCTACACCAGGGGTGTCCAACCTGGTCCTCCAGCACCACTGTCCTGCAGAGTTTAGCTTCAGGCCCAAGTATTGTGAACCAAGGTTATAAAAGTCTTCAGGATTGCTAAAACTTCCAGGCAGGTACATTTGGACAAGTTAGCGCTAGACTCCACAGGGGTCTCCAACCCTGCTCCTGGAGAGCTACCATCCTCCAGAGTTCAGTTACATCCCTAATCAACCACACCTGAAACAAGATATTCAGGGTTACTTGATAATTACAGACAGGTGTGTTAGAGCAGTGTTGGAACTGAAGTTTGCAAAGACGGTATCTCTCCAGGAGCAGGGTAGATTCCTGCTCTAGAGGTTGTTGGCCCTCCAGAACCAGGATTTGGAAATCCCTTCCCTGAACTGTATAAGTGCAAAGAATGTATTAATGTTTCACCTTTTTCGTTTCTAGGCACTGCATCACAGGAGTGGGCTTCCAGGGTCAGTTTGGCTCAGAGGGAGTGGATGACGAAGAGTCATTGTCACCAGAGGCCTGCTATGAATGCAAGATCAACGGTGACCTTGGAAAGAAAGGTCGCCATAGGCGTAATACTGGCGATAATGAGCTCAAGGTACTTTTGAGTACTGTCCTTCTCTCTTTAGTTGTCTTGTTATTAATATGGCCACACTGCTAACCCTGAAAGGGTATAATAGACTTAGATCTATCAGAAGCTACTTCTAAGGTTTCCAACTGTTCTGTCCTGCCCTCAGGAGACGGTGAGCTTGGCCAGCATGGATGTTCAGACCTCTATCCCCATGAACCTCAGTCTGGCACAGCTGCAAAACAAGGAACCCCTACTTGAGTTGCTTCCAGCCCTGGAGCCGCTTGAGCACTATGTGCGCTACGTCATAATGCATGGAAACCAAGGTGAACACTTCCGCATCCTGGAGCGTCACGACGGGAAGAGCGTTCTGCGGCTGGGCCGAAAGCCACCCCCTCCAGGTTTGTACCGCCTGGAGATCGCCAGCTTGCGTCTGTTCGGTCCACGCAAACTTCAGCAAATGGAGGACCAACATGACAGCGACTACTTGCTGGGCGAGATCGGCGACGCACTGCGCATCAAGCTGCACATCCACCTGCACTGAGACTGACCCTTGACCCCGTGCCCTTCACTGCAGGGCGTAGGCTCTGAGAGACTGTGTCCATTTACCGCCATGTTTTGGGTTTGTTTTTATTTGCCGTCCTTTCATATCAGCGCCCACCGACTCCACCAGGTTGGGTGGAATATGTACATACACCACCTTAAATTAGCAGGAGTGCATTAGCACTAGCACCCACTTTTACCAGAGGGACAATCAGAAATATCAGTCGTAAGGACAAATTAATTTTAGTACAGCTACTACAGTTGTAAACTGTCAAAATGATCATGTAATGACATTCAGTCTTTAGTGCACATAAAAACGTTGCATTATAGATGAAGAAAATATAATGACTATTCACTCATCTCAATATCTCAGTGCAAACTGGGGTCAAAGTTTATTCCATTCAGTATTTAGTGTCATTTGTCAAGTATTGTACTGTTTTTGAAGAAAAAAAAGGTCACACAAAGGACTGCAGCAATTTTTCAGGTTTAAACGAGAGTCGAGGGTTCAAAAGGCTTATGGTTCTCAAAACTGAAATGCGTCTTTTTACATAAGATTTCTGGGACTTTCTGGAGTGTTTGCATGAGCTGCCACATCACGTTACCTCATTTTACACAAGAACACACACAAATATATGTATGGCAGTTAGGACAGGAGTGGTGCTAAACACTCAAAATTTGCACTGGGCCTCCTCTGCGTATTTCATCAGGGAAAATTCATTCCAAAAATGGCAACGACTGTCTAAAGGGTTTTCGAATATGCATGCGATGTTGCACAAACTTGGCATTTACATTTGAACCATTTTCTTCTCCATACTTGTGTGCTCTTGTCGGTGTATTTGACAAAGACGTGCTTGGCAAACAGAGCACATACGAATGGAGAACTGGAAGCCTGCTGGGTAAACCAACCAGAGGCCATTTTTGATTGCAGCTGGAGACGTGCAGTCTCAATGGTACATAAGGATTGTTTGGCAAGCCGTCCTCCAAAACACTCCAGATATGGACATGCAAACACACATTTTCAACTTTCAAGTGTGGGAACGATGACAAACTGACCCTCGTTTCTTAGTTTCTCAGAAACCGCGAGCAAACAAGGTGCTAAGATTCCAACTTACGCTGTACTACGAACTGATTTGTGGATCGCAATCGTGACATTTCCAAAGGTCTTTTGTGTTTTATTTTATTTTTTATTTCGTGTGTGATTGTCTTTTGTACTGTCTCAATGCTGAAAAATCAATACTATCAAAGCTTGTTGAAAATTTAAATTGTATATTTTAAAGTGAAATGTAGTTTTTGTTTGTATTTCTTCTTTTGTATTCTTGAGCATCAAGACTGCCAAACCAAATATTTACTTGTACACATTAGATAAATAGCTTTTAAGAGCTGTTGACTTTGTTTTTCCTCAGAATACGGACAATTAATGATCACCACGTCCTTATTTTACTGTCACTGAGCACTACGTGACAGACGTCACTGTTTACATGAGCTTGTCCATCAATCATCTAAATGAATAATACTGTAGTTTATTGCAACGACCAGCAATATTGGACTGTTTTCATAGGCTGTAAACAAAGTGATTTTGGTGCTAGAATGACAAAACTGATTCTTGAACATCACAGTAACTGCACTGTTTGACAGCCTGAGCTATATTTATGCATAACCATTTGTCTAACATGGGAACTTTGTATACTTTCATATCTTTTGTTTTTGTTGATGCCACTACATGTAAAAGAGCGAATGTGCGTGACTGTACTGTATGTCAAAAATCAGTAGCAAACTTGAAATAGTCATCAAGCTAGTGTTGAGTTACGAACTTCAGACCAAAGAAAGTGGACCGGGTCGCTCAGGATGTCGTCCCATACCATAAATCTCAGAGGTGCATTGATTAGGGCATCTGTATGAATTTTTTGAGCCATAAAGATCCATGACGGAGAAACCCGAGTACCCCGTACACGGCTAATCAGTAATTCCAAATGCATTGTTTTTATACCATTTTCGATCCATCTGTTAGATCCGAGTGATCCGCACAATGTTTGTGAACATCTGTACGAAACAACAAATGGCAATAAAACAACATGGGTTATATTTTTAAACCTTTGTCTTTCTGTTCTCTATGTGCAAAGGCCATTTTTAGCCGCATTAAAGAGATCTAGCGAGTGTATCCAAGTGGAAGCCTTAAGTGAATAAACCCAGTTTTATTTCAGACAAAAGGGAATTAGGAAAATATCCAATCTACTTACAAAACTCACAAAGCAATGCAAGCTCCTCTGTTTCTTGGCACATCAACATTCTTTGCACATCTGTCCAAATGAGAGCTACAAATTCAAGACGATTAGCAAAAAGGGAACTCCAAATCCGAGTCGGGATATAAAAATAATGCTTTCGGTCGATTCTAAACCTCTCTTAGATCACAACGGTTTCAGAGAGCTCGGCAGATTAGCAAACAGATAACCAATGACATGAACACCCTCGAGATATGAGAACATATGGCTTATATACACATAGTCAAAGGACAGGAAAGAGTCAAACAGCAATAATACAAGGACTGACACTCGGTTCCGAAGTCTTAAAGGGATTTTTGCTCCAAATCCAGAACATCCTCAGAAATGTATAAAGCACAGAGTTTAGAACGGGTCTGTCGAAGGCAGCAGGTATGTCGGACATCCTCTGACTTTCCAACAATACTGAAGTTTTCCTTAAAGATGTATTTCGCGCAAAATTACCATGCTAAATAGACAAAAATCATACTGAATAGGCCATAATCATGATAAGAGGCTTATTTAATTTTACACAAATGAAAACGAGGCATTTCAGTTATTTTTACAGTGTAAATTTTGTGTAAACCATTTGTTGAATTCAACGCAACAATTAACAGAAAGTGACAATTTGAGTTTACTGATTTTTACAGTATAACCTGTTAAAACCATTTGTTAAATTCAATGCAACAAATGTAAAGCGACAATTTAACATCAGTTTTGTGATTTTTACATTGTAAATTGTTAAAACCATTTGTTGCATTCAATGCAACAATTAACGTAAAGTGACAGTTTAATGACAGTTCAGTGATTTTTTGTGTAAATTTTGTGAAGAACCATTTGCTGCATTCACTGAAACGATTAACGTAAAGTGACAATTTAGTTTACAGAGTTTTATGGTTTAAATTGTTAAAACCATTTGTTGCCTTCAATGTAACATTCAACAAAGTGACATTTTAGTGAGTTTTATTATTTGTATGGTATAAATTATTCATAAAACAATTTATTGCATTCAATGCAAGAATTAACAAAGTGACAATTCAACATCAGTTTAGTGATTTTTTCAGTATAAATTTTTTGTTAAATCCATTTGTTGAATTCAACTGTAAATTGTTCGTCAAACCATTTGTTAATTTACGAACAAATTTAAGGTCCAATATGTCTCAAGTTTCTAGGTCATGTCATCGTCTAGTTTTGTTTTTTTTACGCAAATTGTAACGTATATTTTACTATTTTTTTCCATCCACTGTAAAATTTTTGCAAAGCCATGTTTCCAGTGTTTCAGTGGCTGAACAACTGACATCAATTTACAGCAACAATCGACTTACTGACATCTATCCATCACAGCCTCATTTTCAGTTGCGTTAAATTAAATATGCCATCTACATAGGTTCATTGAAGAGTTTCATCGTCTTTTACAATTAAGATATATCTACAGTAACGATGAAGTATGTACAGTAGCCGAAGGGTAGTAACAGTTCACAGTGAGCATTGTGTTGGGCACCTTGAACCGTCGACTTCATGTGTTTATTCGTTGTAGACCTTGTAGACCGTCCTGAGGAAGTAGCTACAGCGGAAGAAATGGACGACCCTGTTAATTCGGTTACGTTTACGCCCAAAGTACATTTCCAGGTATACATGGCACGTGCGTTCCCTAGGAATCGAACCCATGATGGTTTAAGCGCAATTAGCTACAGGGTTGGAGTCGGGCCACATGTTGGGCTAAGGCAGGTGGCGTCTCAAGGTCACGTAACTACACCAGGGCGTAGTCAAACTGGCCCCGCTCGAAGCCATCCTTGTGATCAGTCCAAGATGAAGCGGGCATTCGGCTGTAGGGGTCGAGCAAGATCCGGAAGCAACGCACCAACAGGAAAATCAAAAACAGCATCAGGAGACCCACGAACGCGAAGGCTGTCCTTTGCTCGGCGTCGCCACCAAGAGATGGGCTGCTGGGGACCCCGGCGAATGACGGCCCCGGCGAGAGCAGCTCATAGTCCAATGTGGACACATCGCTCATCCTCCAGAGAGGGCGACGACAGAACTTGCAAGCTGTCGTGAGAGTGGGTTGGACGGAGAGATTGGTGCGGCGACCTCGATGTGAACAAACGAGGCCAAAGTCGACACTTTTGACCGCGTGACGGACACGCAAAGTGACACAAGTGGAGCAATGCGGGACCAAGTGACAGGCTTTTTTATTCCAGACCTGTCAAATCGGATCTGACCCGCAAGAGGCGTGGTGCAAGCCGATGGGACATGACACAACGGGCTGCCACAACGGATAAAAACAGCAAGGACTCGAGTCACACGCTCGTTTCTTTTGGCTGCAGTTATGAGGCTAATTGGTTCCAGATGGGACACGGTTTGCAGGTGTTGTCCCTACGTTGGGCGCCAGTTTACCGTTCGCCCCACAGCAAGTATCCCATTTCTGGCTGCCGCTGAAAGTGTCAGACAATAAACATCGGACGCCTAATCGGATCAGATCAATATGCGAATCTGAGAAAGCCGTTCGTTCAAGCGAGTTAGATTAGTGGGCTCCAGTAGGTGTGCATTAGGTTGATGAGTCAGAGATGATCTGTTCCTTCTTGCTTTTTTTTTCTCACACAGAAGCGTCTTGTAAGTTTGGTACTATTGATCGAGGCTGGCTAATGTCTGGTATAGTGTGGATTTCAGGGCCAGGATGGGATGTAGGCAGACAGCAGAGTCACAGAAACGACGCCTTCGCTGCAGTGCGTTTGGCCTCTGGTCTGTTGTACTTCACCCTGTAAACACACAGCATACACGTATTCAGCATTTAATCTGTTTAGTTGCATGACCATTAACTAGTCCTAAAGCAAAAAGCTCACAATGAAAGAGATATCATGTGCTTTTCAGAAATGTCCACTGGATGTGAACACAAAATATGTAAAGAAAAAAAAAGGTATTTGGCATGTTTATTTTTTGTAAAAATAGTAAAATAAATCTTGTTAAAAATAATGAAGGCATGTTTTATATATTACTTTTCACTTTTAACAATGTTATTTAAATGACTACAAGACTAAACATATTTGATTTAAAAGTGTAAATATATTTAATTTTATAAATGCATTTAAATGTGTTTTTTAACAAAATTCAAAATGTATTAATGCATTTTTCTGGAGTATTTACAATCTTATAAGCATTTCTATATATTTTTATACAATTTATTAATTAAACAATTTCAATAATTTTGTAAATTTAATACAATTTTGATTGGTTGTGGTGAGCTGAATGTCATGTAATGCATTATAATAATGACTGAAATAATTACTTTTAAATAAAAAAATACCTACTTTGCGCAATATTTTCAACAATATTCTATAAAATCAACATTTTTCACAGGTAGCACACACGCACACATACATAAATACACACATATATATATATATATATGCACACCCATTTCTATTTTTTTATTATTAAATCATTTAATTATTTAAAAAATTGTGGTGAACATAATACATCATGAAATGCATTGCATTGATGACTGAAATAAACACTTTGAAATAAAAACTTGAATACCTGCTTTTTTCAATATTTTCTAAAAATGTATTTAAAATATCACAAAATATTAAGCATACGCTGCCGTAATTGTTCATTTTTAAATATGAATATAAATATGAAACAAAAAGTATCAAATATAACAATATGAAAGTTAAATCAATCATGTCTCAGCAAAGACTATTTTAGCAAATGGCTGCAATATAACAAAGAGTGAAAAATTTAAGGGGGTCTGAATACTTTCCGTACCCACTGTATATACATATATATATATACATATACATATAAGGATGAAATTAAATGGCAAAAGACATGTGGATCGCATAAATCAGGTTTTCAGTAGATTGTTGATCATGTTAATGATGTGGAGGCCTTATAAATTCATACGTCAAATATGAGAGAGTGAATGAATGTTTCGACTAATCCGAGCAAAACTACCATAATTACCCTGACATTCTACGTAATGGTGAAGCTGATTACAAAACGGCAATACCAGCAAAAGCGGCTGTTGTAAATGTCGTCTTTATCCATCAGCGGGGCGTTTTAACGAATCATTAGCTGACTCCTGGAGGAAACCAAATAAGCATTCGTGAATAATACGAGTCTCACTCTCTCAAGTGTCGCTAGTCTGGGATCACAGGATATGAAATGTCAGCAGACGATTATCTTAAACTTGTGAACAGCAGCGGTGTGATTAAAGTGATCGGACAGAGACGAGGGGAGAGATGGATGACAGACGCAGAAATCACTGGTGCTGAATGGACGGGCCCAAGCATCATGATGGATGACGGGACGATGTGAGGATCTGTGTGGCACCGCAGACGACGCTGACAAACTATCGCGCTCTCTTCACGCGGGCCGTATCTCTGTGTCCTGTGCTGCTCGCTGCCAGCGCTCGCTCTGGCCACTTCATCAACGGGACTTAATCAATCAGGTCTTCCCTGAGACGTGTTTTACAAGAGCCGACATCGGAGAGAAGAGTCTTACAGAGCAGGGGGAAAAGGGAAATTTTAGTGTGCAAAAAATTAAACAAATAAATAAATAATAAATTAAACATAAAATGCTGCTGCTGCTGTTAATAATAATAAATAAAGTTAATAACTTACAATAAATACTACTATACAAATAATAATAAAATAAGCTATAAATTATATTATTATTAATACTTTAATTAATTTAATAATAATAATAATAGTTATTATTATTATTATTATTATAAATGAACCAGTAAAAAAAATTACATTATATTCATTCACTAATATTATTATTATTATTAAATTAATGAATATTATATGGATAAACCAGTAAAATAATCATTTATATTTATATATTATTTTTTAACATTTTATTCATTCATTCATTTTATTATTATTATTATTTACAACATTTTATTTATTCATTCATTCATTTACTATTGTTGTTGTTGTTGTTATTATTATTATTATTATTGAATTAAGGAATATATGAATGAGCCAGTAAAATGATCATTTATATTAAAAACTATATTTTTATTTTTGACATTTTATTTATTCATTTATTATTATCATCGTCATCATCATAATTAAATGAATGAATAGATACTTCTATACTATACTAGAAATACCAATAATTGTAATTTTTTAAATACATTTATAATAAAATAAAATAAAATGCTACTACTAATAATAAATACAAGGAATTAACTAATAATGAACAGGAATTTACGTTGTACAAATTTTATATTTAAATA